TTCCAGTGAGGACAGTTGGCTCCTTTGCCAAAGAGGAGCTAGCTGAGTATGGTTGGGGTTGTGCCTGCATCTTCAAATCTATTCCATTGATCCTCGGGGGCTTTTAACTTGCCAAAGATTAAAACTAGATCCCTATCTTTCACTATGCAGTAAACTAAAATCCAAGTGAATTAAAGATTTAAATATCAAAACAGAAACACTAAACTTACTGTAAAGTAAATTGGGTAGAACCCTCAAAGACATTGGCATAGGAGAAGACTTTACAAACAAATCCTCAGCAGCATGAGAACTTGCACAAAGAATCAACAACTGGAATCTCATTGTATTAAAAAGTTTTTGCAGAGCAAGAGAAACCACCAACAGAGCTAAGAGACAACCTACAATGTGGGAAAAAAATTTTAACAGCTACTCCTCAGACTACTATCTAGAATATATAAAGAACTCCAAAAAATCAGACCTCTCAAATTTAAAGACCTGATTCAAAAATGGCCATCTGAAATGAGCAGATATTTCTCAGACAAAGAAGTAAAAATAGCAAATAAATATATGAAAAAATGTTCAACATCACATTCAAGAGATGCAGATGAAAACAACACTGAGATTCCACCTCACCCCAGAAAGAATGACTGCTATCAAGAAATAAACCAATAAGAAATGCTGGCGGGGTTGTGGGGAGATAGGAACCCTTCATTATTGGCGGGAGTGCAGACAGGTGCAACCACTGTGGGAATCAGTATGGAGATACTGCAAAAAACTGGGATTAGAAGTCCCATTTGACCCAGCTATTCCTCTGCTGGGTATCTTCCCAAAAGAATTAAAAGAATCATATCACAGTGATATATGTGCACCCATGTTTATAGCAGCACAGTTCATAATAGTTAAAATTTGGAAACAACCCAAATGCCCATCAAGTGGAGACTGGATAAAGATGTGGTTTTTCTACGAAATGGAGTACTACTCAGCCATAAAGAATGAGAAACTAGAAAGTATTTATAGCTAAATGGACGTACATTGAACCTATATTCTTTTTTTGGGGGGTACTGGGGATTAAACTCAGGTCCTTGCACTTGTGAGGCAAGCAGTGGAACCACTGAGCTAAATCCCCAACCCTGAAGCTATGTTCTTATGTGAAATGAATAGGACACACTTGAGTAAATACCGAATAGTTTTTCTGGTGTGAAAACTACAAGTGTAAATAAAGTTCAAACGGTATAATAGGAAGAAAATGGCTAAAGGGGAAGTGGGAAGGGGAGGGGAAAGAAAATAAGGGAAAAGAAAAAAACGGAAACAAAGTCTTTATAAATAGGGAAGGGTGAAGGGGAGGAAGGGAGGGCAGGGATACAGGAAAAAAACAAGAACCAAGATGTATCAAGTAAAGGTACAAGATCCCAATGATAAATGTAGCTGTATTGTTTGCTTTAAATGTATCGATACCTTTAATGTGGAAAAAAAAAAGTAATGTAGTCCTTTGTACAGGCAATAAGCAAGAATTTTCTTGTCAGATATTAGAGAAAAACTGGGGACGATTTTTAGAGATCACCTATTGAAGTGGACATCCCACTACTTAAAATAGGCAAATAAATTTGAGTTATTTGTATAAAAGAAGAGCACTTCTCCGAGTAGGAAAGTTTCCTGTGTTTTTCGTATTATTACATGTTATTTTATTGTAGTGTCTTCTTGCCATTTTAGAATAAGGTGAAGGTGCAAGGCAAGTCTGTAGACAATTCTCAAGAAGTTTAATTCAGAATATTTTAAAGTTGTGCTGCTAAGAAAATAAATATTTCATCCCAGCAAACATGTTCATCTAATTTTAAAGATACTGCTGAACTCTAAGGCCCCGTGCATTTATGAAAATAGTGGAAGCATTACTATTCCGATAGCTATAGAGTGTTTAATTAATTATAATCATACCCTTCCCAGGTGAAATTTCCAAGGCAAGTGTTCTGGGCCACGGAAAGAGAAAGTATATTCATGAGTCGACTCTGAGTCTATTTTCAGGTTATTTTAATATTGAATTTCCTCCTTATAGACTGTCATTAGTCTAGTCATGCTACTAGGAGACAAGAGCACTAAGGGCTCTGGGGAGCTGGGGGCGGTGGGGGAGGCAGTGCAGTCACTCAAGAAATACTCATTAGTGCCTGGTCTGCGTGAGGCAGAGCAGTGAGCACCAAAGACACAAAGATAAAAAAAAGAGTCTGTCCTTAGGCCATGACAGCTCAAATGGGAGGCAAACCTGGAAACAAATAAATATAAGAAAGCGGTTTGCAGTCTCACGGGAGAAAACATCAGGAGAGACCCGTCAGCATGGTGGCAGGGGGGGATGGGGTCCAGGGAGTTTAGGGACCAGCCCCCTTGAGTCACTTTGAAAGGTGAGGAGGATTTGACACGTGACCTTGAGAAGAGGACGCAGGTCTGAAAGGAGAGCACAGAGGAGAGGCAGAGCACAGAGACAGAACTGGAATGGATCTTGGGGAGAAGTGGTGAGGTCTATTAGATGTTGCGTGTGGGGAGAGACCAAATGGGAGAGGTTGGCTGAGGTGAATTGGAGGACAGCTAGGAATGGCATGCTGAGGAAAGAGGACTTTATAATCATCATCGTCACCATCGCAATAATTTATGCCAGGCATAGGTCTGACCACTTATGTGAACTGAACGAATGCAATCTTCACACGAACTCTCTAAAGTAAGTATCGCTGTTATCTTTATTTTACAGATGAGGAAACTGGGGCACAGAGAGGTTAAAGAATATGACCAAGGCCACACAACTAGTAAGTGACGAATCCAGATATCAAGCCTTGGTTGTTACATTCTCCACCGTAGGTTACATGCTCCCCTAATGTGTTGGTAACTTTTTTTCAGCACAAGGCTGATACATCTGGTTTTATTTTAGAGGGTCACCCTGGAGGGCAGATCAGACTGAGACTGCAAATACAGAAAGGATCCAGAAGGCCAAGAGGAAAGTGGAAGGGTGGGGATGTAGCTCAATGGCAGGATCTTCCTCAGCGTGGACTGGGGCCTGAGTTTGAGCCTCAGGACTTAAAAAAATCCAAGCAGGTTGATGATTCTCTATCTTACTTAGATCATTCCATAAAAAACCCAAAAAGTCCTCCCAGGGGGTTGGAAGGGCCTTGATCTAGAGGGACTTCATATATACATTGCTGGGCAGCTGCTTTTTAGCACTTTCTCCTGCTTTATACAAAAAATCATTTTCAGTAATAATCATGAGATTGAACAAACGATAATGGCTGGAAAAGAAACAGCAAGAGTGGAAAATTTCTTCTATTGATGTCTTGAAATCATGCCATGAATAAATAAATTGTATGCACGTGTGTGTGGAAAGAGAACAGCACGACAATGCTGTTAAATGACATGAATGTGTTTTTGGGAAAAAGGGAGAAAAAATATTCTTACACATTAGTAGGAAACAATAGTGCGCAATAACAAAGATGACCAGAGTGTTCCCAAGAAGCCCATGAATCTACCAAGGAAAAGGACTTTCAGCAAACATCCACCAAGGAATAAGGGAGGGGTGCGGCAGTTGCTCTGGATATTGGTCAGTACTGAAGGATGACATTGGTGCTCACCAGCCTGAGAGAAAGGGCCTAGGGATGGCGCCCAGGGATAGGGAGCAGCACAGAGAAGGGCACCTGGGGGTGAGGGAGCCTGGAGGTGCCAGCACTGCAAGCCATTTGGTCTGGCAGCCACAACAGTCCATGAGGGAGAGGCAGTGGCACTAGAGAAAGGATGGCACCACACTGTAACGGGTTTTGTATACCACAGGGAATTTCCTGGGAAAACAGGTGGCAGTGTGGGAGGTAGGCAGTTGGGTCAGTAGCAAAGCTGAAAGATCAGTTCATGGGGCCGAGTGCAGGCAGCAGCAGCTGAGGGGTGGAGAGCAGGGCCAGGTGTAAAGATGGAGGGCAGCTGGGTGGGGCCCCCTGCTGGGCACCTGGTACTTAGCCTGGAGTCTCCACCTTTAAGAGGCTTGGGTTTGTTTTGTAACTGTACTCTGCAAGGCCGCTAGATGTGCTTTGCATGTGGCAAGCACTGTACCTGGCATGACAATGTCCCCTACAGCGCCTGCTGAAACAGAGCCTCAGCCTTTAACAAGGCCCTTCTGGAGAGGTGGCCCCAAGCCTCAGTGTGCCTAGCTCCTGCCAGAGTGTCTGCAGAAATGGATGAACCGAATTTCCTTTCATTATTATTATTAATTTTTAACCATACCAAAGATTGAGCCCAGGGTCTTTGCAGTGAGCTACATCCTCAGCCCTTTTATTTTTTGAGACAGAAAGCTGCTCATGGTTGTGCTTGAACTTGCCATCCTCCTGCCTCAGCCTCCCAGAAGGATGGAAATACGGGCTTCCAATATGATTGGGATGGTGAATTACAGGTGACCCTATCTTTGGATAACTCCTCCTAAGGAATGGATCCTTAGAGTTCCTAGTTCTGTTTACAGAATCTCGAAGGTAGAAACGATGGGAAGGAACATGGAGCTTATTTCTGCCACAAGCAGCTCATTCCTCCAGACCCGCTCGGGAAGAAGCCCCTTCCCAGAGGACGCACCTTGGGGGGAGGGCGGAGAGAGTACTGGAATGAGGCTTGAAAACCAGTTCCTGCCCAGTTCTGCCTTCAGGTAAGCTGTTCATCTGGGGACAAATTTTCCACCCGTCCGGCCTCCTCATCCGATTAACCAGAGAATGCACCGGGTGGTTCCGGGGGCCCCGCTCTAGTCCCAAAGAGCCGCTCTCCTAGGAGCCGACAGGACGGAGCGGTTCCCACGCACTCCCACCGCCCGGATAATCCGCGCCGAACGTGCAGCTCCTCCCGCCCTTCCCGCCTCTGCCCTGGGCTGTGCCCAGCCTCCGCGAGCTCTCATAACTTCGCTCCCGCTTGGCTCAGCCTGTGACCCTTCGGCAGACCCGCGGCCCCCAGGCGTGGGAATGGGAGGCTTCCTGGCAAAAGCTCCCTATCCTGCCGTTTTATTGCTGTCGGCGCTTTACCTCGCATCCCGCCTCCCAGCCCCTCCGGGGCGCGGGCGAGCCTCTCCGGTGCCCCGGGCGCTGGGAAGGGCCGCATGAAGACATGGGCACCAGAGTTCAG